GGAAGTCAATGAAACCATCAAGGCAGCCTCGGAGCTTTCTAGAAATCATGTATGTAATTAAGTGCATAACTTGAAATAATCTTATCATTTTTTTGAGGAGCTTACAATATTTCTCTTATTTGGTGATGACCAGCAATTCATGGAAAATTTGGCCACGAGATTGAGCGAATATGAAAGAAAGACTGTATATATTTTCTTTCATGTTGTTTCAGTAGAAGCTTTGCCTACACTTTCGTTAACATTACCTATGAGGAAAATGCGGGAGGTTCAGGCCGTTCTTGTGTCACACGCGAGCGAATTTGCAGAATTCTACATTTCGTCGAGAGCATGTGCCGCGTTTCTTATGTCGGCCCCAACGTCAACTTTTGGCTGGTGGTTAGCATTCTTTGCGCCAAATCAGGAGGCTATATATTATCTCAACAATAATCGCTCCCTCTTTCGGAAAAGCGCTACAAAAGATATTTTTCTGTAAGTTTTTTGGAATTTTTCAAATAATCATTTTCGAAACAGTCTCGCGTATCTCAACTAAGTCGAATGATTTGCCCGAGTAACATAGTGGCCAGCATACATGCTTTGCAGGTTGAGTTATCGGTGAATATATCATTGTATTTACTATTTACTACTACTTCACTATTTATTTACCTTACTTGAGCCAAAGAACAGCATCAGCAAATTGCGTTTTCAGCGCATTTGAACTAACTTTTGCCTTTCACTACGTTGAGTAAAGGATCATTCAAAACATCATTGGAAGCTTAGAGTAGCAGTTTTTCTGGGAAAAAATGCTACTCTAAGCTTCCAATGATGTTTTGAAAATGATGTGTTCTAAGTTACTCACAATTAGATACTCCAGTAAGATCAAGCATTAAAACCTTGAGATAATGATTAGCCAAAGGCAAAGGTGTGTTCAAATGCGCGCAAAACGCAATTTGCTGATGCTGCTCTTTGGCTGAAGTAAGGTAAATACAGTGCTCAATGTGAAAAGCTTCTAATGCGTTTTTGTGGACAATATATCAAGCTTTCAAAAGACGAGAAATCTTGCTAATGTGTCCTAGTTGCGGATAATTTCTTCTGTTAGTTTGTGCATTTCCAAATGAACTGCACTGAAATCAACTTATCATTTTGACTATTATAGTAATATTTCAAATCACTCACTTAGGAAAACTTGGAGACCGTATCCAACATAATTTTATATCCAACGAGATATTGCATTAGCAGCCGCGTTACTGATTGTCTATTGGATAGCATTGCGTGATAGTCGGAGCTATTACCTCCTGACAAAAAAGAAGACTGTGGAAATTAAATAGCAGTATATATTACTACTAACGCTACCCCCTATATTTGTTCATGTTAGAACAAAATGGAGGTAAACGATTCTAGAACTATATTAGGTTGACAGTTTCTATAGAGCTATATTTTACAGCATTTAGGCTTTATATCGAATTTCCAAATTGCGACAAGGTTGTATTCATGTATCTGTTCTTCAGTCACCTATTCTTGCTTCGCGCACAGATTGAGAGATTTCTTGCCACTTTTTGTCCTTTAAACGCCGAAACACGTTACAGTAGTAGCTGCCCCGTGCTCTTGCCAGGGCTCGGCACGATGTGGCTTACAAGCAAGCTGGATATCGTTTTTGGGACGAAAAGCAAAGGGGGTTTCGTTTTTGTGACCGAAGAGACACGGAAAATTGGCGACGGCGACCTTTTTTTTAGTCGACGTTTCGTTTTTTGGGGGATTTTGGGGAATTTTTCAGGTTTTTAGAGGAAATTTGGTTGAGGGTCAAAGGGGTCTTCGTAAAAATTCCCAAAAGTCAAGGGGGACTTCGTTTTTTCCATTTTCATCTAGCCACCTCGTGCCGAGCCCTGGCTCTTGCGAATTCGTTTTCGAATGTAAAATGTTGCTCTTCGCAATTTCTTTATGTATATCTTTGTCATTTAAGTGATTAGTAGGCAATGATGTGGGATTCGTTATGCCTGTTCGTCCGTATCCCTTTCTCTCCCCACCCCATACAAGTTACTTAGGGCCGCATGCACTAACCTCCCCGCGGGGAGAGGATCGCAGCTTAAAAGAAAGCTTTATATTTCGAAACTCCAGATACCTGGATTTCACGTTGTGTACCTATCCGCAAGTATTCCTACTATCCTTCACCATGAACATATTGAACAGGAGCGAGAAGGTGTACGAACCGCATATTCCAGCTTTTGTATGATCCCTGATGATCCCCGGCGCTTTTCTTTAAAGTCATTTTTCTTTCTCCGATGTTAACGAAAACCTTCCAAAGTTGTACTGAACATCTAACACAATAGTGCTAAGCATGTTGCTGATGAGAATAAATGAATTTTTGAAAAGTCGAATTTTTCGATTAACCTCAACTTTCGACCTGTGGATCATCGAAAATTTCATGATTCAAAACATCATGTTTTCTTATCAACAACATGCTTAGCACAGTCGAGTTAGATAATCTGCACAACTTTGGAAGGTTTTCGTTAACATCGGAGAAAGAAAAATGACTTTAAAGAAAAGCGCCGGGGATCATCAGGGATCATACAAAAGCTGGAATATGCGGTTCGTACACCTTCTCGCTCCTGTTCAATATGTTCATGGTGAAGGATAGTAGGAATACTTGCGGATAGGTACACAACGTGAAATCAGGTATCTGGAGTTTCGAAATAAAAAGCTTTATTTTGAGCTGCGATCTCCTCCCCGTGGGGAGATTAGTGCATGCGGCCCTTATAGTATTAACCACTTCCGAGGCTCGTCATTAGGGAAGAGTGGTGTGATGAAAAGGATATGTCTTAGCGGGGAGGGGAGGGGGCATTTATGATTGCGGGGTAAGGACATTAGATCAAAGCAAAGGTCATCTTTGGTTTAGTTTTGTGAACATTTTGTAGCAAATTTTTTTGTATCTTTGAATGATTGTAGGTTCAATCATACACGCATTTACTTTGCACGAAAACATTTGATATGGCATTAGAAATGATGTCAGGAGCGTATCGTGCTAAAGTTGATCTATAAGTAATAAGCAAAAACAAAAATGAAATATCTTAATTCCGTTTGTAATTCTAATATCTCAATAAAGTGTCTAACCTCAAAATTTCACCGTAAATAATTGCAACTTTGATTTACGGACTAAGGCATACCTCACGCGATTTTAGCCGCTGCGCGATCTACCACTGCGAGAACTTTTCATATCTGGTCGTAAATGCACTTTGCTTGGGCCAGACTTGCTGCTTCTGGTGCAACTTACAGTCTGCCCCAACCCTAACCAGGCCAAAATTGGCATGGCGGGAGTCCGCGTCACTAGGGTTTCGCGGTCACGCCTACGGCCTGCTTCTCTGCTCCCTCTTCAATCCTTCTGCTCTCTCCGACAGCGCGCATATGCAGCGCAGACCGTTAGTGCTGCGAACGCGCAAATTTGAGCCGACAGTTCGGCCTGATCCGATTGGAGCAGACTGTTCGAAATTCATGCGCCCATGCATCTGAGAGCCGCGCATGCTTGACTTGTAGACATCTGGCAAATCACTAAGTTGCGGGGATGTGGCGACTTCGCGAAATCGCGAGAGGTATGCCTTAGCCTAAGGCTGATATCCGATCCAGAGTGAGTAAATTTGTTAACTTTGAAGCCGACATAGTCTGTTTTATCATATTTAAGTGGTAATAATTCTGCCACTTATTATAGCCACAACCACATATACATATTTTGAAGCCTAGAAAGTCAAATAAAAGGGTGTTATGATTTGTAATTTAGTAAGAATATCTTTATGAGGATTTTGTAATATCTTATATATAAAGCTGAATGTCTGTTTGTCTGTCTGTCTGTATGTCTGTCTGTATGTCTGTCTGTCTGTATGTATGTACGTATGTTCCGAATACAAATTTTTATTTCTGAACCGATCGGGACCAAACTTGGCACACATATACTTCAGGGCAGGGAGCGTGTCATAGGCTACTTTTCGTTATCGATCGATATCGATTTTATTGATTTTTTGCAAAATTCGAGCTAGAGGGCTGGGATTTGGCAGAGGGGGGTAATCGAGCATGCTGATCACCCCTTCGGGGTGATCAGCATGCTCGATTACCCCCCTGTGCAAAATCCTAGCCCCCTAGCTCAAATTTTGCAAAAAATCGGTAAAATCGACATCGATCGATAACGAAAAGTGGGCTGTGACACGCTCCCTGCCCCGAAGTGTATGTGTGCAAAGTTCGGTCCCAATCGGTTCAGAGATAAAAATTTCTATTCGGAACATACGTACACGGGTCTAGCTGGCAGGCCCGGCGGAGCCGGGCAAGCCAGCTAGTTGCTTCTAATTTCGATTGTTCTATGTTATGTATTATCAGAAAGTCATCCATATATCTAAAAAGATTGACAAGTCTTTGATAATTTGGGTAGTATTGGGCACACTACTAACTTACCAAAGAATGGGTGTCCCACCTATTCTCTGTTTGAAAATGTGTTCACCGATTTTACAGTAGCTGTTTTTCAAGAGAAATTGTGTAGGCATTATATCTTGTACATAAAATTATAAGTGTATCTCCCATATTAAAAGCTGAGACAAAGGGTTGCTTGCAATTAGTTCCAGGTACAAGCGTCTTTTGTCCGCTACGTTTCATACTGTGGAGCATCCGTTCACTACCAGTATATGCAGCGAATTCCTTAGTGTGATGTCCTGACACCTTTTTTCCTTCTGCTGTAACAACAGTGCAAGATCATTTTTATTGTGAAGATCTCTCAGCGATACGTTGCTATTAGTAACTGAGCAGAAGCAGGTTTTATTGGCAAATCATTTGTTGTCAACATAAATTTATACTAAAAAAAAACTGTCGTTTGCTACTCTAAAACATCATGAAACCTACCCATTCGGAATTGCAATTTTGCAACGATTTTTGACACTCTGCTATAGGTGATGATAGGAACAAGATTCGTTTCCGATCTGAAGACCCATCCTTCATAGGCAGAAGAGCAAATTCTTAAATAACATCATAAGATCATTGGCAACAGCTGGTCATGTGTTACGATCTCGCCTGTATCCTGTTGCTCGCTGATCCTTTTGTGTTTTAATCTCAATGCCAGCATAAATACATCCATCAGTGGCAACACTACTATCATAACTGACTAAAGACACCTCAATTTTTCTCCCCTTTGGAGCCTGCAGAAAGATTGTACTGCGAAGCCATTGTCGTATTTTAAAACCTTTATCCAGTAGTAGCATTTTTCGAAGTCAACCATTTGCTCGAAGTCGGTTACTCCTTCATGACCCACACGGTCAACAAAAGTTCGTTCCTGTGTCAAAGCTTGCAGTATTCTCCCGCACCCTTTCGGCTAAAAATGTTTTGTACAATCTTCGTCCCGATTACATTCGGATACTGAGTCATTGTCACCCTTCTATTACATAGTCTGCCTCCATATCCACTTGGACAGACGCATTTCGTGCAGTTTCTCGGATTTGGAAATCCTCCCATTTCGCATTTTGCCGGCGAGTCGGATGAAATGCATCTACCTGAAAATGTGTTGTCACTAGACTGAGAATCCATGCCTATTCTATTATATTGTGAATGAGCTCACCGAGGCAGTTGTAGTGAATGTTCATCATGAGCTTCTCGTAAAAGGAAAGAAAATGAGAACCTAGGGTGTCAACATACGCAGCGGTGAGAGGCACCATTGTTCGATCGCCCATGGCACTGTTATCCTTTGCGGCACTAAGAAAGCATTATTGTGTATAGTTGACTGCTGCATGAAAGCAAACCATCTGGAGTTGTAGTGCATCACGCTACCGTAATCGTAGGGAATACCATAGTTATGATTTCTTGATGCCGGTTCCTTATTGAACTGTTCTACGAGAGAAGGCTAAAGGCGAGTTCAGTAGTTTGAGACGCGAAAAATTGAAAAAGATTTACTTCCACAGCGTCTAGATCGAACATTATATACTGATCACGATCATGTCTTGAATGTGTGTGGAGAAAGCCAAGAGCATGACCAATCTCGTGTGTAGCGATTCCAACCTGTGTGCATCCCGTACTATCTTCGTTACTAAAATTCACCTATAACTTCTTCTTCTCCATTTTCAAACTCATATGGAACAAACTTTTCACACATACATCTCAGGGAAGGGGGTAGAGGGTTAGGTGGGGGGTGTCATTCATAGGGCTCAATTTTTGCACCTTGAGCTACGAACTGGGTGATCAGGAAGATTAATGAGTATGCTAATTAGGAATGCAATAGTTGATATTTAAAACTGGTAATTGGTTTTCTCTTTGTCTATTTTTTTTGCGAACTTTGGATAAGGAGCGAGCTAGTAGTAGTTGGTACAGGAGAATAAGTAACATGTTGATAATGAAAGTAATATTGATTTGAGAAATTATAGAAATTGTAGAAACCCATCATCAATTATATAGCGGGTTGCGGACTTTCTTGAATCTAAAAATAAATCTGTTAAACCTCCACGTTGCAGCATCGTTTTTCGTACTCTCTCGTCAAGTTTATCATTATGAACAGGGAAGTCCGCAACCTGCCTCCACACGAATCTGGGAGCCGATCACAAAGTTGACTGCACGGGGCTGAATGCTCACGAGCATGCCTCGCGTGCGGCTGCTGAGTATTAACGCTATGGTAGCTTATGCGCGCAAATGCTGAGCTAGCGTGCACGCCATCCCAGCCGCCGGACGTTCTCGCGGCCGTTCAGCCTGTGGCGATACGGGCGATCTCCTACAGTCGACTTTACCCTAAATGCCTGCAGTTTGCACTCGCAGATCGACGGCATTCACTGGTGTAATTAATACCGCGCAAATTGCCAACTTTTGGCATCGCAAGGGCTTATATATACTGACAAATTTCAAATGTACATTTTGTTCGGTTTCATATCAAAACTAGTGCATGAAACTTTACATAAATCCAAGACAAAAGTGAGAATAGCAGAGCTCCGGAAAGCTTACCATTTGGCATTTCGCACCTAAAGAAAGTTCTTGCACTCCATGTAGTTTTCCTACGTATGACCAGCAACCGGTGTCAGCTACAACTTCAATACGTCCTTCCACTAAATGAAAATCTCAAACGATATGCACTGCTTGCTCATGTATAATGTGCACCCGTGTAGCTCTCAGAGAAGTTGAGACAAGTGTGTCTTTGCCATTCCCATACTCCTTTTGCGAAAACCTCGCGTACCTTATCACCTGAATGAAATTTGTCTTATACATTTGATAGGCTAGAGAATCAAAAGCGAAGGTTGTTTGAATATCTGCCAATCGTAAAAAGTGAAGGGTATTTGTAAAAAATCAGGGAAGAAAAAAGGTGCAAAACAGATAGTAAAAGCAGGAACAACTTTTAAGAACTGGATAACAACGCTCCAATGAGTTTGAAATTTTTCATCTGGCGGCAAATCGAATTGCAAGTTCTCGTTCCAGGGTCACGCAATTCACAAAACGGGAAAAAATGAGGAAAAGCTAATTTCTTTTTTGTGACTATTCCAAAGACAACCATGTCTTAAAAGTGGTGATTATCGAAAAGGAGATAAATTAGAAAAGAATTAGTTATGAGAACGCGAAGTTTTGTTTTCTACTAACATAAGTCGAAATGCACATCAAACCAAATCTAGTTTTTGATGCGTCCTTCAAATTTTTGTACCCCGCATTTCTGCTTCTTGAAACGTTGCCTGGATTGCTAACCATTATTGATCATTATTCTGCGCAATAACCGCCCACTTTGGAAAAAAATCGCTGTGGGAACTCTGAATGAGAACAAGGTAAAGAAAATTGGAATTTTAACGACTTTTCACAAAAAATCCGCTATGATCGAAGAAATACCACGTTGTTCACATTTACAGGAGAGCAAGATCTATTGAATGCATGAAAGAACCGCAGAGATTTTCGAAAACACGGCTTTCGCCGAATTTCTTGTTCAAATCAATGAATGGACTTTCGGGACGTTTCTAGCGTGAAAGTAGACATTCACAGCTCCAACAAGATACAAGTCTGCCGAGATTGAGTTCAATACAACAACGAAAGGATACCAAAGCTATGTCTCGTGCCCCGTTTGGGGTAGCGAGGTAGCGCGCAACGCGCGGAGGCGCAGGCGAGCAGAGGAGAAAGACCAAAGTCGACGGCATGTGGCTTTGGTCGTAAATCTCCGCTGAGTCTCAACAAAAACACTGCAAATTATATATCACATTTTGATCGTCATCGCTCGACTAGGAGCACTGGGGACGTCACAAGCTTTAAAAGTCACCTACCATGAGAAAAACTAGCATTTTTGTGCGCACTCTTTGCGCAGTATTCGCTAGAAGTTCCTCCTTTTCATCAAACTCCAACATCCCTCGTGAACTTTTGAGACACGATCGTAATCCAAAAAGGTTAAGCGAAAAATATTGTCTTGAATTCTGAATTTTCACAAAACCTTCATTTTTTGCGTAGAAATGCTATAGAAACGCATTTATTGCTTTTGCTGTGATATTTTAAGGGTCTTATTCGCTATACTTGCTTTATTCGCATTAATCCCGATTTAGTCATAATCATAACATCAGGGTCTTCGCTTCTGACGAAGATCCTGATGTTATGATTATGATTATTTCTGTTTTTTTCTGGTGAAGGTTATGTTCTTCCATGTCGCTCAAATGAAGGTACCAGAACACATGGCACTATGTATGGAGGCTATGGTCTTATCATTACTGATACGATGACTTACTAGTGTTGCTGTGGAAGGAGTAGTAAACCACGCCATCGGGCCAAATTGTGAAGGGATAATTGTGATCTCTGAAGGCTTGACGTTTCCATCGATGACGTTCATCATCGTTTCCTACAAGTTCATCCAATTGCCATCTAAAAATAATTGTTTGCTCAAAAATTTTTAGTCTTGAAATAACAATCATACTTTTTCAATACGATATCACCCTGATACAAAAATCTTCCTATTCCTTCTTGTTCATTGATAGTCTCAATATCCCTGAACGCTACCTCATGTGCATTCACGAGCCTCTGCAAAACAACAGCATCTCCTTCTGCATATTCAACGAACTTCATTGCGCAAAATCCTTGACTACTCGTTCTATATTTTCCAACGCAGCCTGTCGTTGTGGGCTGAGCTCGAGACTTCTCCTTACAATGCCTTCTTGTGCATGGATTCTTTCGTGCATGTACAGCAATTCAGCCTTGTTCAAAATAGTCTAAACAGTTCTTGGTCTTGCGGATGCGTTCGAATCCATCAATGTCCTCTTACATGATTGAAAGTCTTGTCAATTTCTTCGCTGACGGCCCGGACAATGCAGACATGTAACAGTGCAGGATACATGTAAAATTGAAAAGAAATCCTCGTTCTGAAAATGAGATGGTTGCCGATTTTGATTGCACTTTCTCCACGTTTGCAATGTTGGCAGTGGCGTAGCAGGATTTCCGTCCGGGGGAGAGGGCGGCAACTTTTTTAACACATTTCGGACCGGTGCTGCACATGTTGCAGCACGCTGCTTTGAAGGATCTTTCTGGCGTTTGCAGGAGGTTTCCTTTTAGTCTAAAGTTGTTAAGTCAAAGGTCTAAGCTCCTACTTTCCAAATGAATCTGTAGAGTTGAGCCGCCGATATTTGTTTAGGAGATATGAGCACAAATCGAACAACAGTTGCAACGAAGTGCGGCGACGCGAACGACGCGTGCGACGTCGCAACTTTCCTTTGCTTCGATAATAAAGAGAAAACCATAGTTTTAATACTGATGTGTACCGTGTACAACATAGATACTTTTGAATACTATAGAATCTGAGTTTTTGTTCCTATCTTTCAAGAAAGCACAAAAGTCCCTCTCAAGCGACAAAATTCAAACACTTCGAATTTACTCAGAACTTTGGATATGGAGCTTATCTAACATGCTGATTACAAATGTGGCCACAGGCTGCGAAATAGGTCATTTTGTAGGCTAACGGCTGAAAGTACACTCTTTTTCGCTGCGCGCGATTTCGCGGTCCGAAACATGTTAAATGAAGGTGCGTGGCGTCAGACAGCACTCCGCTACAAACGCTACACGTCGCTTCAAATGTTTTATGTGTTTCACGTAGGTTCACTAAGACAGGCCCTCGAGTAATATAGCATCTCGTAATCGATATGCATCAGATAGTGCCGACGTTTGTCGCTGACATTGGCGATCGCTACTCTCTACGGCTGGTGATCGCCCGTCGCTATCAGAGCCCGGTACAGATGATCTGGGATCAGACTGGACTTCGTTTTTGAAGTTAGAAGCAACGGGGATATCGTTTTTATAAGGTCCTGGGGGAAGCGACGAGAAAAAAATGTCGAACATGTCACGTTTCACGAGTTGAACGGTTTTCCGCAAGTGCACGAGTTTCAAACACAAGACTCAAACAAACAAATATCTTGTTTACAGCGCACAAACAACCACATGGTTCCGTTCCAATCACATGCGGTGTCCTTTGAACTATTATGTGGCGAAAAATGAATCGCCAGATTGTGGAGGCCACAGATTTGGTTGGCCTAGGAGGTTTTCAAATTCTGAGCACTAAAATGGTGCCATACCCAATGACAGAACCTTTAGTCAACTCGAAATGTTTTCTTTCTGTTTTTTTTGTTATATTAGCTATCTCAAAATGCTCTTTTGTAGCTTTTTATTGTTAGTTTGATTGAATAAGGGTTGCCTTAATGATTTTTACATTAAGAGGGACTTCGTAAATTTTCGCAAAGTTATGGGGGACGTCGTTTCCAAAAATGCTCCCAACCAACGCGTGCCGGACCCTGGTCACTATTACTGGCGACTAAATTTTACTTACGAGAGAATGGTCGGAACTTAACCTAGCCATTTCAAACAAGTTGTATATCATCGGACTCGTCTTAAAACGTTGATTTCAAATTTATTCTTTTGTCTGCCAAACGACGAGGAGTTGTGAGAGTTGAAATATGAGAAATTTTTCGAGTTTCGACAAACATATTTCCTTGAAAGGCAGCCTGATGGCGCGGATTTAGAGTGGCTATGGCTATTTCAATTGCAAGGAAGATTTAATTTACCGAAAACCTAAACAAGTGTTTTTGGAACGTATTTCGTGGAACATGCGCCACAGAACAATTGACAAATGCACATTTAAACGCTCATAGCTCCTTCCAAATGGTCAATTGGCAGATAATAAACATAAATATAATTGTGATCAACGTTTCAAGACAGTCCGATGATATACAACATGCTTGGTATAGCTGGGTTAAGTTCTGACCATTCACTGCACAGCTTTTTAATGCTAACAATTTACCACACATCAGATCGATACGCATCAAACGTGAATTCGGCGAAACTAGTGATCGCCAGTCGCGCTAGTATTGGAGCGGTGGCGCCATTATACACGACATAAGAATGAGAAGTGTCTAATTTTGCTGACACTCTGTACACTCTGTACTCTGTACATAGGGGTTTGACATGCTGATCACGAAAATGACACTTTTTGCATGAAAGACCATTTTTGTGGGGTCACGGTGGGTACGCGGTAGGGAATCAAAACACGAATTTGTATGGAAGTTGGTGTGGAGGGTTATGACATGCTGAGTGTCGGGACCTCCTCGTAGAGTCGGTAGGCACCTAGCAGGTGAAAAACATGGACCTGCCTAGAACTTTGCACAAATGGCTACCTGACATGCTGATCACCAATATCGTGCTCATTTTGCATGATTTATTTATTTATTTATAAAATACTAACCGTAATATGCCATTATACAAAAAAATCATTACATTACTACAAGACAGGAAATTGAATGCTTAATACTAGAATAAGACTAGAATGCATTTGACTTTATATCTCAAAAACTCTTGCACATAATTTGTTGCTATAATATCGGATATAGATGGAGCAGGACGACAAGCTCTGTTGATGACTGTTCTGTTTTTGAGAAGGTCACACTTCATCGAAGCTTTGATCAGGTGTATACTATCAGCAAAGGTATGCATAGTGCTTAAAATAACGAAGTGGGATGAAGGAAGAATATGATGTGATACTCTCGAGGCCACTCTCGAGCGGCGTGTGATACTGCATCCAGCTGTCCATCGTTGATCCATCCATCCATTTTGTACATAATACATACATACACACTTTTTCATTTCCTCATTTCCTCCGTGTTTGAGTTAGTGACATGGAGATAGATACGCAAAATCAAAGCTTCAAATTAACAAAAGCAGCGGGTCACGGTTAACTGTTGAATATACAGTGAATCATGAGTGAGAAGTTATTCTGAGCCAATAATGGGAAAGCCAATATCAGCCAATACTTATATAGCCAATACTGTTAAAGCCTTTTTGTGACCGAATTGGCCAAAAAAGCAAAAAAAATATTCAATCGTGAGCTGCAAGTCATCGTAACTTCACAAAAAAGCGTTCTCGCAGCGAGCAAGTATGATATTCACAGTCAGCATGCTTGAAAACTACTCCAGGCAAATTCAAGCAAATCTTGAACTTTAATCCATCTATTGATTGCCCACAAGCGTAACCCGCAAGAGGCAGTACCGTGCGAAATCAATGTAATAAAATATGTGTTCAACGTGCTGAATAAATCCCTAGGCGAAGTTTCGGGAAAGTCTGTCAGTGTGACCCCTATCATATACCTACCGTGGGTACAGGAGAGGTTTTCGCGCGGCAAAAGTGTTGTATTCGTGCGCAAGCATGCCAGATACCCCTCCCCTGTCCTGAAATTTTATCCAAATTCGTAATTTTGGTCCCGTACCGTGTGCCTACCTAACCTCTATAAAAAAGTCCGTTTATGCAAAATGGTATCATTTTGGTGATCAGCATGTCAACCTCTCCCCTTTGTACCAAGTTTTCGCAAAATCCGTAATTTCACCTTGGTGCGTGTTCTGGAAGACGAAGACGTCTATACTTGCGACCGATCGCCAGTGGTAGTCATTGGCCATCGCCAATATCGACCTGGCGATCGCTAGTTTCGGCGACTACACATCGATACGTATCGATTATCGCACAAGTTGAAGCTATCCAGCTATCTACATACTGTGCACTTGCCTCCAATAGTGGCCACTGCTACAACTCTGGCGAAGAGAGTGCTATACTGAGTATATCGCCTGCCTAAAGCAATTTGTGCTATCGCTCAAAAACTGCAAGTCTTGGTTCATTAGGGTGTCCAAGGCGATGAAAACTTGCTCTTCAAAATTCCTAAGCTTTGTTGAAAATTAACATACTCTTTAAGCTCCACTGTGCAAGTGAACATCAGCCTGTCTCTCTCATCTTGAACCCTGTCATTCCTCTTGACATGAAAATGATCCATAATGCTAATTCTACTTTTTACTGTTTACAAAAGCCCCCCCCCCTTGTAGATGCTACATTGTCGGCGTACGCATATCAAGTTGTTTAAGGTGCTCCGCAAATCATTTTCTATAAGCGCTATTATTTAATGAGAGCGGAAGGTGGTTGTTTGGGTGTTTATACGTAAGATAGTGCCAGGTATCAAATACGCCAATCAACTTGAATTATGTCGGACAATGATACCCCAAAGAAGGATAGAAATCGATTACCCTAACAAAGTCCGCAGGCTTGTAGTGGCTGACTGAGATGTGGTACAGGGCTCCTAAATTGCAGAGTCGTTTGCACCAGCGGTCGCGCGACCGCTGGTGCAAACGACTCTGCAATTTAGGAGCCCTGTATATGCTCAAATTTGGGGGTTTAGAATTAGTATCATATGTTTCCCTTAGCTGTGATGCGCTATCCTGGAACAGTTATAGTCCCTGGACTTTTTGGCATATGCTTGTCCGGGGAACGCATGGCCATTTCAAATGTGGTGAGGCGGTTAATGTCCCGGAACCACAGATGGCCGATGAAGATTCGAACCCTGTTGGAGTACACGTTTTAATGTTCTTCTCAAATACTATTTTGTTTACCTGTTCCATGTAGTTTTGAGGCAAAAAATGACATATAGGGCTCATCAAGCTCAACCAATCATAAAACCTGTCATGTCATTCTCACAAAGAGCCTAAGACCCGTATGCACGTACATCCCCGCGAGAAGGGAATGTGTATTTTACTTTTGGAAATATCTCCGCGCTCGTCTCCACTCACCACGCGAGCCCTCTTATGCATGCAAAAAATGCCGGAGAAGGCATTCGCTGCTGAAAAGGGAGGTGAGACCCGTCATGCACAAGAGGTTCAAGCGTCTCTACTAAGCATTGGACTTTTTCGCCGCCTTCAAATTCTTTATTTTTTGATTTATTTGTTCAAAAGTTCCTTTGAAAAGCCGTTACGTACTGGATCGTCGGGAACGCTGCTTACGCTGAAGATATTTTTCTTTAGCAATGGAATTCAATATTTT